ACAATATGTAGACTGATACTATCCAAAGGTAATTTTTGATTATTAAACCAATTACGAAATAATGCAGTAATTTTATTATTACCAGAAATAGTTTTTGCAGGTATTAAATTTTATCATTGTTTAACTATCATAAATTCCAAATATATATAATTAAGTGAATCTAACATATCGAAATTAAGATTTACTAAATGATCGTTGAAGGTTTTACTTGTTTAACATAAAAAATTAAACTAAGAAGACTGATTTCTTCTGCACTAAACCAACAAAATCGTACTTGATATTTAGATTTTATATATATCGATATTTGAAAGAGAACTACAGCTAATGTAAGATTTGCTGCACTACCACTACCTATGCAAAAAAAAATGAAGAACAAATATTTCTTAATTGAATATTTTCTATTGACAATGATGGTGTATCATGAATATTTACGATTGATAATAAATCAACAAGAACAATTGTTATTAATAAACCTAATCCATTTTCTTCCATAAGTAAAAATTTCAAAATAGAGATTCTATGGTTAAAATCAATCTCTTATGGTATATATATATCTTCATTTTAATAAAATTTTCTAGTTTTAAAACTATTATAAGTATATAAAGTTGTAAAAAAAAAAACAAGATATGATTAGTGAATAATTATTTATCTTAAACAGAACAATTTATTAATAATTCTTTTTCTAATCTCTTGATAAAGAGAAAATAATTTCGACTAAAAAAATCCTTGATTTACAAATAAATTCTATTTTAATACGCTCATATTTCATATAATAAAATATTTACACATTAATATAATATTTTTATTATTGTAACATATTATTTCGAAGACATATAGTCATTTTCAACTATAATATACAATTATATAGAGTAGTCAGAAAATTATCAACCAAAATAAAAGTTTGTATCTTTTCATCAAATGAGTTGATTTTTTGTTTTTTAAATAATAATACTAGAGTCAATTTACTAGAAAACATCGAATTACTTCAAGGTTCTAAAATAATTTGATCATAGCACAATTATTTTTGATAATAATAGAAAGACTTATTCTTCTTAGGCGATTAGAGAAAAAAGTACTATAATATGAAATATGTCAAAAAGTTTTTTTTTTTTTGTATATCTTTGTATTTTTTATGATTGACTACTGATCGAAGTAGTCTGAAAAAAAGATGCAAAGAAATTCTATATTGGAATAGATTATGCTAGAATTTCAAACGTGATCATAAGCTGTTGATTGATGAATAAAAATTTCAAAATTTTTCTCTACGATTAAAACAAAAATTGATTCATTCAGTCAAAATATTCTGCAGATATATAACAATCAAATCAAATAATGCCAAGATAAGATTTCATCATTCAGATTATTCTCTCATGTATAACACATCTATTATGTTCGTTTTGTTATAGAATTTTATTAGTTGATTTTAATTTATTCGAAAATGTTGATAGTATTCGAAGTTTTTTTTTTTATTCCAGAAAAAGAAACAAAATCTACATGATTATATTAAATACAAATAAACTAAAATAATAAAGTTTATATTTTATTAATATCTTGTATATTGTTCGATATATTCATATCATACAATACGTGGTAAACAACAACAATAATTTTTATGTGAAATCCAACATCGACTACCATCACCTGTTTTACTTTCTAATGTTTTTCCACATCCACTAGGACATGAATTACCAATAAAACAAAATGGTGCAAAACCATACCATTTGCATAATGCATCGCTAGATTTTGGAATAATTATTAATAATAGAAGAAAAATAATAGTTGTTGATATTTTTAATGAAGTCATTTTATAATTTTGAAAATAATCTATATATATACTTTGATTTATTTTAATATAGAAACTAAAAAGAAAAAGAAGAGGTTGCATATATATATATATATATATAATCGTTATTTTCTTTCGTCACCTTGTCATGAATACTCTAATAGTTTTGCGTCGTAGATTAATTATATAAGGCGAAAAAAAAATACAATAGATAAAATACTTTAGAAACTGATGATAGATATGTTTGCAATATATATATATTAAGCATTGATAAAAAGAAAAAAAATACTTTACTGTAGTAACAATTAGAAAGAAAATACTGTGAGAAAACAAAAAAAACGTCATCGTATCTTTTCTTCTTATTACGTAATTAGATCGTATTTATAAATGATACTATCAATGATTTGTTTTATACAACAACAATTTTACAGGAGAGAATCAACAAGACTTTAGTTTCTAATGTTTAGAAATAATCTTCTAGGATGTTTGTTACCAAAAAAAAAATGAAATGAAACTATATCATATTATCTTCATTATGGTTAAGTACTAGAGAAGAATGAAATTCGACAATCAAAATCATATTATTGATTTAATCACTACATCTTTTATTATGAATAATATATACAAGAGAATAACTATTTAATAACAATAGCAAAAAAAAAACATAAGAATAATAAATGAAAATTTGTTATTTCGATTTAACAATCGTATTAATAATAGAATCAATAGTTTTTTTAGCACAACAACAATAATTTTTCATACCAAACCAACATCTTGCACCATCACCACGATTATTAGCTGTTACTTGCCAACAATCTTGTGGACATGAATTACCAATAAAACATAATGGAGATGTTCCATACCATTTACATAATGGTTCTATTGTTGATAATGATGATAATACCAATGAAAAAAGAATAATACACGAAACCAAACGTCCGTTAATCATGATGAAACAAAAAAGAAAATATGATAACGTTAGATACAATTGATTGCTGTATATATATATATGAACGCAGAGAAAAGAATAGACTATTGTTGACCGATTGCTAGTCAGACATTGTATATATACATTTATCCAATCGTTGAATAGACAAGTTCATTATTAATATTCATTGGACAAACATTTTTTTTTTTCATATCAGAGTTCATCTGCAATTTAGTGACACCTTTGCATATGATGATTACAGTGGCGTACGCAGAAATTTTTCAAGGGGGGGCCGGCCATGGCACAAAAAATTTTTTATCACGTGAAAATATTTTTTCCTGTACCCCCCTCCAGGACTTTTTCGTCTCAAGGGGGGCGCCGACCCCCTCGCCCCCCCTGCGTACGTCACTGGATGATTAGTACATATGTTTAAATAGAATAATTAGTATGTGGATGTCACTAAACTGCAGTTATTGTACTAATAAAATCAAATTTGTTTTTTTTTTTTTTCATTTTCAAATTTGATAATTAATATATCTTAAATAATCTATGTTATAATTGATAATCATTGCTTGAATTATCGATATTTATAATTGAAATTTTACTAATATTATTTGACTTGCAAATTAATTTGATCTACTTGAAAAATTTTTGTAATATAACTGAAATCATACATTCTAGATATGGTCGTTTTTATTTCTGTTAATCAATAATATTAAATAAGAAATTAATTAAGTCAGGCTACGACTGTTACATATCTTTGAAAAACTAATTGTATAGAAGAAAAAACATCAATACAAAATTATTGTAATATTTTTTTGTATTTTGACTTAATTTTCAATATGAAATATGCTGTTTGCTTCTAGCGAAAAAGTTATTCATATGAGTTTCAACTATGTCAAACAATAATTAACATTCGAATCAGTTAAAAAAAAAAGAAAGAAGAGCCTAAGTATCAAACATTCATAGTTTGTTGAAATTTTCGAAAAAATTTTTATACATTATTAATAAATGATTTATCTAAAAATCAATTTTCAAATATAATGTCACAATATAGTTAGATATACTGTTTGACTCATCAAAATCAAGAGGTAGTATATGACATACAAATAAATTCACTAACAAAAATATTTAAGAAGTTTTACAGAATTTCTGAAGAAAAATAATGAAATTTCCAAGGTAAAAAAAAAAAAATCTTGATGAACAAAGCAAAAGTTATCATAGACTCAAAATTCTCATATGTTTATCTTCTATGAGATACTGAAATCACAATGACTCTAATTTTCACTTTCGTTTCTTCACAATACTATATTCAAACAAGTTTAAAATATTTTTTTTGCAAACACTCAACACTGTTTATAATGGATATTCTTTTTCGTCCTTCAAATAATAAAGTCAAAATATTGAAGATATTCTTTAAAAATGGTTTCAATTCGATCAGACATACTAGGTCAAACATTTTTTGTATTTGTTTTTCATAAAAAAAAAAAAATTTAAATTCTCTATCCTCAAAATATTAACAATTATTTTCAATAATTTACGAATAACACTGCAACAAAACAAAACAAAAAAAGAGAACTCATTGTAGAATTTCATTCATGAGAGAAGAAGGTCTTTGATATAAAAGTATATATTGTGTTCTTTTATTTAGATTGTTATTACATTAAGAAAATTATTTTCTCTTTTTATCTTAGTTGGTGTATCTCTATTTCTTTTAGTTACATTAACCATTAACTTAAACTAGAGATAAATATTTGTATGGCTTCTACAAGACGACAACAAAATTTATGTACAATATGTGGTGCAATGGCTGGTGTTTTCTTATGTCGTGGATGTAATAATAATTTTTGTTTAATTCATACAACTGAACATCGAAATTTTCTTCAAAAATCTATGAATGATATTGATCATAATTGTGAAATTTTAAAAGATAATATTCAAGGACAAAAAGATGAAGAATATTATAGATTAATGATGGAACAAATTGAACAATGGGAACAACAATCAATAGAAAAAATTCGTCGAGTAGCTGATGATAATCGACAACAAATGTCAATTATTACACGAAATCGTACAGGTGGTCTTAAAGAAAAAATAGAAGAATTACAACGACAATTAGCAATAGCTCGTCAAGATGGAGGTTTTTATGAAAATGATTTACAAGAATGGACACGAAGACTTGATGAATTACAAAATATTATTACTCAACAAAGATCATATAAAATTGATTTAGTTAATGATTCAAATCCATTTATTTCAAAAATTGCAGTAAATGATGAATCAAATGTTTCATTTCAAATGAATATTTCATTAAATAATTATGATGAAGATGGTATTCAATATAAACCTGAAGATTATTCAAATAAATATAATCAATATGATTCAAATAAACATAATCAAGATTCATATTCATCAGGAAAACATACTCTTCGATTTAAGATTCATCAATCTGACCCAAATAATTCAGTTATATTTGGCGTTATATCAAAACAAAAATCAATTAATTCATTCGTATCTGAAAATTCAACATTTTATGGATGGACAAATAATGATCTTGTTTGTCTTGGTGGTGATTTTGAACCAAATTATCATGGCTATAGAAGTGATTTTCAAACTGGTGATATATATCAGTTAATAATTGATTGTGAACAAAAAAAAATTCGTTTGAAAAATGAACGAACTAATACTTCACATGAATTAAAGGTTGATACAATGAGATGTCCATTTCCATGGCAACCAAATGTTCGTATTATTAATAATTATTAATGAACAAGTAATAATAAACTTGAAAATATTTTATATGATTTTATTTATTATTTAATTAAATGTAATTGATTTTCTTTTTTTTTTTGTAATATTTCTTGATAAAGAAAAAAAAAAGTGTTCGAGATTTTATTCAATGTCAATTTTTGTTAGTTGTTTGTTAAAATAATCATATAGATTCATTGCGATACTCTTTTTTTTGTTCTTGTTTGTCAACTTTAACCGAACATTTTGCTTTCCTTGATATGTTATCTTTCGCTTTTTCTTCTTTCTTTTTTTTGTTCTTGATGAAAGTTAATCGTCAATATTTATTTCACAAGGATGTATAATATCTTGAACAGCAAGCAAAAAGTCTTTTTAATTTTTTTCAAATGTTTAGATTACTAGAAAATTTTGAAGACAAAATTTTAAATATATAAGACTTATGCAACTATCATAAAGAAAATTTTTTTTTTCTATCTATTATAAAATTATATCAAATTGATGTGACTTTTTTTTTTTTGTATGAAAATCGTTAAAAATATATACATAAAAAATAAATAATGCTTTGATATATTAATGTATGTTTAATTGGAAGGCTTCAAATGAAAATAATCATCATGGAAGATAATCAAAAATATTTTGAAATAATGTTTGTTATTAAAACTGTATCGATAATGCTAATGAAACTATGAAGTTCTGAATAATTCAATACTGTGATGGTTTTCAATGGAATATCTATATTTATATCTTGTTTTTATTATTCACAGGATCTTAGTCGAGTACTCTGCTGAAAATTGTCCTAGTAAATGAGTTAATTATGCCTTCTACTAATCATTGTAAATATGAATCAAGTAATGAAATGTGAATACTTTGTTGTTCTCCAAGTCTAGATTTCTGAAGAAAGTAAAAGTGACCTTGAAGGTACACATCAAGATAAAAAAACATGATATGCTAAGGACAATTTTCGCTGGATATTCATATACAAATAAATCTAAATATATGACGAACGTTCGCTAAAAAGTTTAAAAAAAACTTCGAAATAGTTAAAATTAAAAAGTTTCTATCAGTGGTGAGTTGTATTTTAAATTACTCACTGCACCGTTATCAAAAGTTTCTTGTGATAAGATCTGTATATTGATTTTTTTTTGTTGTTGTTATAATACTTGTATTAAATTCCTATTGAAATGCAAGCACATATGATAATTAACTGGTCTATTTCAGAGTATCTATTGACTATACATTTCTTGTCAATAAATATGTCTTACATCGTTACTCAGTATAGGACTCGAAATTCAAATGATATCAAATTTTAATGCCAGGGTGAATGGCTCACGAAATAATTTTTAAACTTTTCCTCATGTTAGTTATGAATCAGCAAAATAGTAAATAGTTATAATTTAATTATTTTTCAAAACGCTTATTTCGAACGACAAGAGAAAGACTGGTTTAATATCCTATGATAAACTATAAATCTATTAAGAAATAGTATCTTTTAAAAAAAAAAGATTCGAGGAGTTTGTTTCTCTTTCAATTTGTTTTCAGATTTTCGCGCTGGTTCAAACATAAAATAGAAAGTTAATTGAATAAATAATGACTTTTCAGCTGTAGTTCATCAATAAAGTATTAAACTTTTTCAATGTTTTCAAATGTTGTCTCAACTAGAAGTCGACCACGTCATAATTGATCTTCGATCTCTTCTCGAAATTCACGAAATTATTTTCATCATCTAGCAATAGTATTGTAAGAGTTAGCGCTGGTCGCCAAAAGAACAAGATTATAATTCAGCAAGAATCAATTTCGATTCGATATTAGGTACAGTATGCATTTTGATGTGCATATAGAAACGAACATTTTTGTTATTCATCTCATGTAATATTTATTCAGTTTGAAAATAAGTGTCATTCTTCGAAATCTGGTTGCTAAATTTTTTTAAGATGTTTTTTGCTATTCAAAAAAGAACCTTTTCAGATGTCTGAAGATATTGAATTTTTAATATATCAATGATCGATAGCTCGTTGTACAACCATAAATTTTTGGAAAAATGATATTTTTCTAATTTTGTCCTGAAAAAACCTATATTTAAAGATCTTACATACATTGACTTGTACAAACAAGTTTCTGAATGTTTAGACTTTGTATCTTTGTTTGATGAACTTTCCAAAAATATACAATTTGCCAAGAATTTTTCATAATACAAGAATATTTCGGAGAGTTCATGTCTTGAGGACGTGAAATCGAAATACTATAAGACTCTTTCTACCAATGTCAATGTCAAAGATGAATAACTGTGGATATTTTTGAAATAACTTTAATACAAAAAGAAAAAAGTCATCAAAATTTTTCGTACTATCTAGAATCGACATTGTTTTGTCTTTTTACAAAATCGATGAAAAGTTTCAGTCGTTTTTCTTCTTGATAACATAATGAGTTATGTTTTCAAAACTTGAACAGATAAATATTGTTTTCTATAAGCTTTTAGTCGCCTTCAACTTCGTGACATGACTTATTAACCTTGTAAGGTTGATTTCTATTTAAAACGTCGTAAAAAATCATACACTGAACATTTTTTCTTCTATTAATTATATTAGTATTATTATAGACAAAGATAGCTGACATCATTGTCAAAAACAGAGATCTCCGAAAAAAGATAAATTAACTTGTGTCAAATCGCTTCCTAGGTATTTCTTCATTTAGTTTCGACAGATCTTATCAACTTTAACAATTCTCTTTTCGGTCAGAGAGTATAGGACTTGTTATGTGCACAATCATTCAGCTCATGTCTAACTGTTATTCGTACAAGGCATGATTCCATAGTGACACTAATACAAAAACACTAATTCAAGTGAATCAGATAGAATAGGATCTTTCTTTCAATCATAATTCGACAATTATAAAATACTACTGTAATGAACTTAGTTTTTATCTCTACCAATATATAAAGTTTCTGAGAAAGTTACGATGAACTGAATTAGAGGTATAAAACAAAGACAGTATTTTATTGTGTTCATTGTATTCATGAGAAGAAAAACATTCCTTCAGCGTGAATCACAATGCACTCGGCCAATATCTAATCGCCCTTTTTCGAAGATAAGCAAAAGAAAATGGAACCGATCTATAACATCAGCTATTACAGCTACTGTCAATCATTTTCTCTTGTTCTACCACGTTCTTCTCTATATACTTTTTCTCAACTCAAAATAGAACGACATGAGACAAGGTTATTAGCATATCCTGTAGAGTTCTGATCAAGGCATGTTTCTGACATCATTAAAATTTCATTTAATATTACAAAAGATTAACTGTATGACATAAATCTCAAGCAGAGATGATGTATTCGGAAGTGTTTACTCTCAAATCTTATACAAAACCATGACTAGTGTCTGCATAATTAATACATTTTATACTTCGACAGCGAACATTTGATATATTTTACCATTTGTGTCAATTGAATTTGAAAGTCATTACATATTCCAACTGCGTCAATCCAAAAAGATCCTCAACTGATCATTGAGTAATATAAGTAACGGTTGAAGAGAAGACAATTTATTCTTCATCATTGAAATTTACTTTTCTCATCGAACAACTGCATAAGAAACAATTTTTCACGTGACGAATCAAATACACAATGTCACCTTTGGATACAGTTATTATGTATCAAATGGCCACCATGAATCTTTACAGAATTTGTGGACCAATATTGGTCATTCTAGGAAGTATAGGTGGAGTACTCTGCTTGTGTGTGTTCGGACAGAAATCAATGCGTAAAAATTCAGGTTCTATCTATTTTATTGCATTCAATATTGCCAATATTCTTGTATTATGGATTTGTCTCGTACCATTTGTTTATCGTTACATGACTGGTATCGATTTTACTATATCAAATCTAATTTATTGTCGATTACGAACATATCTATTGGATGTACTTATGGTATTACCATCATACTATCTAACTTTGGCTTCAATCGATCGAACATTAGTCACTTCTCATAAGGCATTGATACGACATCGAAGCACACGATGTTTGGCTTTCTGGACAATTAGTGGTATTACTCTTCTGTGGTTTCTTTATTATTCTCCCATTTGGTTTTTTGTCAGTATTCAATCACCTGCTCCTGGCTTTTATATCTGTTTCTTTGAACCTGGGGTGTATTCTATGTTTGTGAGCTATTCTACAATGACAATAACGGGCTTTTTACCTCCTTTTCTAATGACAATCTTTGGCATAATGACAATGAGAAATTTTCGACGATCTCGAGTTCAACCAATCACTAATGAAAATAACATTATTGCATTATCATCAAAAGATCGTCAATTAGCTATAATGTTATTATTTGATATTATTATTTCTGTTGTTTTATCATCTTTAGGATCAATTCTTTTTGTTTATACACAAAGAATTCCAAATGAAAGAAAAACTATGGAACAACAAGCTTTGGATTATTTTCTTCTAGATTTTGGTTTAAATCTTGTATTTGTACAAGCTTCTCTAACTTGTTATTCAAATTTTATTGTTTCAAAGAAATTTCGCAAAAATATTCGAAAACTCATTTGGAAACTAATGCCTCGTGTTTGTCGTCGACAGTGGATGAATCGCTGGTCAAATGTAGCATTAAATAGTCTAAATATGACTTCCACGGCTTTGACAGTTCGGCCACGCACAGTTGCTATACATTAATAAACTCTATTAATACTATTATAGACACTTTGTTTGTTGTCATGTTTCTGTATTTGAGTAAATGTTTGAATTGATATCTGTATCGATGTTATTCTAAGGTCAGCATAAGATCGAATCGTGAAAAATGTTGAGAGTATGGGACAATGTTGAAACTACTACAAAAATATGTTTCGATATATTCCAGATATTAGTTTGAAACTATCCTAGCTACCATTCTCATGTTAGTCGAGCATTAGGTTCGATCATCGTTGAGTTAGAATGTCAATCAGATCAATGTGCAACAAATCTGACGAGAAACCGAATATTTGACAATACTTTTTGTATCGATGTGCATTGCTCAATATTCTTCGGTCTTTTATTTATTCATTTTAATAAAGTTCTCAGTCATTGTTGAGATCTCATCCAATATGATTGATTTCAGATCTTTGATTTGAATTTTAATATGTCATTGGCATTATTCTTGTCAAGCAGAAATTAGACAAGATAGATGATATACTTCTTCTAGTATTAGACTATAAATCATTGTCAGTCAATCAAAAGAGATACGAATGTTTCAATTCGACGCATGAAAAAATATCAGCTAGACGTGCTATTTCTGTGGATGTGAATCAGAAATGTAACCAATAGAGTGTCCATGGTATTCAAGTACTGTCATTAAGTTTCAATTTGTTAGATTGTTAGTGGAAGGTAGTCTCGAGCTCGCTTAAGAGCAGACTACTCAATGAGATAGTGCTCTCATTTTGCCCTACTATTCAATACGATAGAGTGCATAATGACAGCAGGAGAGAAGAGAAGAGAACAAGATAAGAATAGTTTTTACTTGCTCACTTCGACTGTGTATCTTATCTGTCTACATCATACATCTGATGCATATGCTTTCACAACATCTACGTATTGTTGTATTCTTTTTTAATTATTTTTCGAATTTATTAAAATATATATGAATATGAAAGTATAATTATTTCCAAATAAAACAAATTCACTGTAAACTGATTCGTTTCTTACAAACTATTTTCTGATTGATAAAAGGATAACTTATTGTTAATTATGACACTTCGAAGTACAGCATAGAATTTACCAAACATATCTTTCGTAAAGTACTTTAATATCAGCACACTATCAATTAAATTGTATTAGCTATTTTTCCCTAGATAGTAAGTATTATTGTCAAGTTTTTATTTATATAAGTAAACAAAAAAGTAGTAATCCGACGTTATAGTTTTAGCCAACACACAATAATTTAACTAATTTCCGATCTCTAATACTCATCACACAGATTTTTCTTTCGGATGACTTCAGATCCATTCATTTTATCATGTTCAAATCATCCATACACTGTAATATCATTTTATGAATGTTTTCTTTTGATATATCGCAATAAAAAGTGGCTAAATGTAGTGTCAAATCTAATGATCATGCACATCATGTGATTCAACCATCTTTGAGAATTATCGAGTCATCATATAATAAATTGAAATGAACTCATGGATCTCATAAATATTAGGTTTAAAACACGTAGGCATTGTCGTATAGCAGCATATCTAAAATAAATGCTCATGAACCTATACTACAAGATTTATCGTATTTTAAGACTATAAAAGTGTAAAGAAAAATTAAAATCATTGAGAAAGAAGGATGTGAGCATTTTTGAATAATTTTGAAGCAAACAGAAACCAGTAATCAGAGTTTTTTTGCACTATGTAGAGTCAATGCTACTCTATCTGTTTACAAAATCAATGGAAAATTTCAGTCGTTTTTCTTCTTGAATACATAATATATTTTGAATATTCAATGTATGATTTTTGATGACATTTTTAATGAAAAAAATCTTTCGAAGGCTCATAAATCATGTCGCGAAGTTGAAAATAACTAAAAACATATAGAAGAAAATTATTTCTTAACTGTTCAAATCTGGAAAGCATTTGGGGAATATCCTTTCAGTAAAACTTTGGAACACAAATAGTTATCGATCTTGACCTTGAGTAAATGAATAAAGGAGAAGTTAGAATATTTGCTCATTATATTATAGTTTGAAAATCATCGACTATGTAAAAAGACAAAGCAACATCGACTCTAAATAGCATGAAAAAATCTAATGATTTCTTTCTTTTTGTTTTAAAGTTATTCAAAAAATGCCTGTGGTCATTTAACTCTGAAATGGACATTAATTACTAAGTACGTATATATAAGACCTTTAAATGGAAGTATTCCCAAGAATCTTTTGAAGATAGACATATTAAAAATTCAATAACTTAATCATGTTTTAATATGAACTTATATTTTTTTTCAGGGTTTACATTAGAATAATACGTAGCAGTGGTAGGCAAAAAACAATAGTAGAAATTAGAAAAAACCCATCTGGAGATATTCTCTCGTTAGGTGTTTTTGAATCAATCGAATATTTGACGAAAACAGAAACGTATATGTAAGTCTGATACCTAGAAAAAGATACCAGTCTGCTATGTAAAATCATTATCATTAGAAAAATATACACAAAAGAAGAGAAATATCAATCAAAAATATTGATATTTTGAAATAAAATCATTCGATTATTTTGTTGCGAACAATAAAATCTACTCTCAATATGTTTCACTAAATTAAGAAAAAATCGACTTACTGAGATCAATTTAAATTAAAAAAAAAACTTGTTGAAATTGGACTATTTACCTATGCAAACGGGTACAAACCTGTTACAAATCAACTTTATAGACGTCCTTTTCATTCAACATAGATATCAAATAATTAAATATTTTTAAACATACTAACGCTTGCATTCCTTTCTTTTAGTAACCATCTAACTTCACCTGAGTATCGATATTATCTTCAACAAATTAAGATAAAAAAGTCTCAAAGTATCATATTACACCTACACACTTTTAACACATTTTGTCCTTTTACTTAGATTGATATTAAACTAAGATAACTATTATTCACCTTGTGCATGTATACTTATCCTTTTTTTTTATTTGATATAGTTGACTATTTTACATAAAACTTTAATGGCTTCTTTAAGACGACAAAATGTCTCTTGTGCAACATGTGGCAAAACAGCAGGTATATTCACATGTCGAGGATGTTCAGAAAATTTTTGTTTACCTCATACAAATGAACATAGAGAATTGCTTGAAAAACAAATGAATGAAATTATTCTCATTCATAATCAATTAAAACAAGCTGTAACAGGACAAACAACTGAACAATTTCATCAATCACTTTTACAACAAATCGAACGATGGGAACAACAATCAATAGAAAAAATTCATCGATTAGCTGATGATACTCGACAACAATTATCAACTATTGTACAAGATCGTACAGAAAATATTAAAGAAAAAATAGCACAAATTACACAACAATTAAATAAAGCACGTTATGATGGTGAATTTTTTGAAAGTGAGATAAAAGAATGGTCAGAAAAACTTAATAAATTTCAACAACTTCTTACTAAACAACAAAAAGTTAAAATTCAACATGATAAAAATTCAACACCATTTATTTCAAAAATTTCACTTCATGATTTATCTACTGATAATTTTGTAGTACCAATAAATGAAATTCAATATGAAACAAATTATGATAATAATAGTACTGACGATCAATATGAAGATTATTTATATTTTAAAGAAAAAAATGAATATTCAACAGGTGAACATTCAATTCGATTTAAGATTGATCAATATGAATTAAATAGTTCAATTTTATTTGGAATTACATCAAAAAATATATTTGACGGAACAAATCCATATGAAAATTCAACACTTTATGGATGGACAGGAAATAATATTGTTTATCGAGCTGGTAATCCACAACCTAATTATCATGGATATAAAAGTGATATTAAAACAGGTGATATATTTATGCTTACTATGAATTGTGATCGAGAAATGATAAGTTTAACTAATGAACGAACAGGTCGAAAATATGATTTAGAAGTTGACATAATAAAATGTCCATTTCCATGGCAACCAAATGTTCGTTTTTTTAATATTTCGGAATGAATATTAATTTATTTTATTTTTGCAAACTACTTCCATATGACTTTATTTAGAAAATTTTTTTTTTGTTATTTACTTAAATAACAAAATTGAAAAATATAACTTTTAATAATATTTTTAAATTTTTTTCTTTTTTTGTATTACTTCGCATGATAATAAAGATAAAAAAAAAATTTGTTTTGTATTGAAATTTAATTTGTATTATTTAAAGAATTGGTATTAAGCATATGGAAATATTATTGTAATAATCTAGTACGTATAGGAAATATTTTCAAAATTCAAATGAAAAAGAAACACGAAAATTTATTGAATAAATCAAACGATTTACATGACTTCCTAATTATATGATGTTATGAAAACTCTATAACATTAATGGATAAAATATTCGATAGAGTTCATTTTAATTGTAAAAGTCTATTGAGATTTGATGATGTTAATTCAATAAGATGCTTACTAATACTTAGGTTTGGTCAAAAATCAGAATCAACAAAAAGAAAATAACATGATTTTCAAGAAAACTCGATGTAATAAATTTTCTTTTTTTTAAGTACCGATAAAATCATGAAAATTTTATGTCAATTGATTAAAATGATAAAAAAGTATTTACGTTTCATTTTCATTCGGATACTCTGTACGTTATAACTAATTATTCATAGAAACAATATATATGATAAAACCTTCGTTTTTCTTTCTTCATTCTTTTATCAATCTATTAGAAAACAATCCTAAGTACAACATGAGAGAAATTAATGAGTCTATTCATTTGCCAAGAGCTTCAAAAAAGAAAAATTTGTATTAGATACGTAATCGAATATTGATAAGATTTTGACGAACAAATCGATGAATTAAGTTAGTCTATCTCATAAAGAAAGCATCATCTGAGATGATTATTTTTTGTCTCATGGTCTAACGAGTGTTGTCAATCAGGTAAAGAAATAGAGTCGTTTTTTAGCCATAAATTTAACAATTGTTAGACTTTCAGTGGAAATGTTTAAAGTTTTTTAATAAATTAATTCAAATCTGGTCGTAAATTCAGAAATAAAACCGAATTTTCAGTATCATTCGTCTTTCTTTCTGGTAAAATATCGAGTAAAAATACTCTTTATTAAAAAGTTCTTGTGAAAATCGTCGAGTTTACCATTTATTGTTCAAATTCAACCAGAAAGTCATATTTTGTTGAACTTCCAGTCTCTTATACTTATCAAAACATTTAGCAAATCTACGTGTAACATGAGATAAAATATAAATACCTTTCTTCATCAATGAAAGAATTTTTATAATTAGAGTATCTTGCAAAATGAAAAAGAAAATTAACTTTATCCAATTACAATTAAAAACACTACTAAAAATATCAACAAGAAAAATTATCAAAAAAAGAAAAAACCAAATTAATAATAATGATCAAATTGAAATAGGTTACAATAATAATAATAATTCAAATATTCGAAATGCAAATTCATATTTAAAACTGATTTAGATTATCAATATTAATTGATGTAGTAGCAATATTATTATCATTAGAACCTTTAATATTGAATCAGATATAGTAGGAAAATATTTTAATTGACTAGTAACTAGTATTTTTACAACAAGCATTGATGATGATGATGCATCATCAAGTCTATTATCGTTGATATTATTGAAATAATAATAATGAATTATGATATTTATGATGAAGATTGTTCAAAAATAAATCAACATATTTTAAATCAAATAGAATCTAAGATGCTTAATTTCATATTTGATTTTATCGAAAGATCTCGATTAGTTTCATACATTATCTTTAATATATGCAGACGCATGTCCAAAATAAAAGCAACAACTGTTAGAGGTCATATCACATTATCATAATCCTCGATTCATTTTTTTTTTCTCTTCTCATCTCATATGTTGTTATCGTTTGTTTCTTTATTCTATTTATTCTCTTTCTAAAATACGTATATATATATGTTACGGTCAAAATTGGAATTTAGTCAAATTCTAAATTTGTCCAGACAAAATTGGAATTCTAATTTTGACCAGACAAAATCAGAATTTTATTTTCATGAACTGTGAAACTGAGAAAAAAAGCAACACTACGAATACGAGTGAAATCAAAAATGATGGTGAAGACGAGAGACAGGTCTGAGTAAGAGTGAAGAGGTCTGAGTCTATATCTCGAGGTTGCGAGTGAAATTAGAGTGAATAATCGCGTAAAATGTTAGTCTTACTCAAAAATTCATCCTTACTAAGATATTTTTCACCATTACAAGGCTACCCGCGACGATCTTACTTAAAATCTTCTTCCTGACTCTCATCACCATCCTTGACCTCATTCGTGTTTTAGGTATTGATTTTTGCTTAGTTTTATAATTCATCAAAATAAAATTCTAATTTTGCCCAGTCAAAATTAGGATTCCAATTTTGACCGTAACATATATATATATATGAGATTATGTAGGAAGATGTAAATTTATTTTTCTTCTAATAAAATAGAAATAAAGTTTATCCTTGACGAGTTAACAAGTGGTGATAAACGAAGGGATGTAAGCATGAATTGACTATAAAAGACATTAGATTGCTCTTGCACGAGTTGACATGAACTTTACATTTTTTTCTCTTTGATAAGTGTCAGATAAAGCTATACTTTTCATATCGCAGTAATCTGTATACATACATTGTCAAATATTTACCTAACTTGATCATATAAAGTTCTGTCTCTATAATTTTTAGTTCTATAAAGAGAAGTATATCAGCATCATCGAGGCATTTTTCGTGTTTTCAGCAATAGTATTATGAAAAATATTCTTTATTTTTTGGCATTCACTCTACTTATTGGTTCAATGCAAAGTCAATATAATAAAGTAAGTTAAATCATCTGTTCAAATTTGTTTCAACATCTGAGAAAACAATAAAAGAAATCTGTTGAAAGTTATTGTAATGAAGAAATAGGCAGTAATCATCTTCAGAATGTCTTGAATGAAATAGCTTCTTATCTCGAATTTCTTTCAAACTGATGTCCACTACATGAAATAAACGAGTCCTCTGTGCTACAATCATTTTAGAAATTGACATGCAACAGAAATAAGAGCGAAAAAGTGATGTTAAAACTCTAAGTGATATAACCACTCTGATGGAAATCACAGTGCGAATTCACATGATAGAAAAATCCATCTTGCTATTGTAAAAACATAGAATATCGTCTTCAGAAAAATAAGAATAATTTGATCGAAACGAGATACGAAAAGAAGACAAAATTTAGTTGTTTCTTACAGTGTGTAAGACAGTTGTTCTTGAACTATTTTTTCATTAATCTTCATGCATTGCGAGAAATGCATTCGAATTTCGACATTGAACTGAAATACCATTTGTTGTAAAACATTAAAGAAAAGTTTGTTCATTTGCGTTTCAACTTAGATTTCTATGTACGAGACTGTTTCTATATAAAAATCTGTTGTCGTAACCATTCATTAGTCACTGATCTTCGTCGGGACTAGCAGCTCCGATCGATGTCAGTGTTCTGATTGTTCACGAATAGAATTTAATTCTTCTCTGAGGAATACACTTATTATCAGTTACGTTTTTCTTAAAATGGTCAGAAGAAACCGTTGGCTGTTGTGGCTACTTGCAAATATAAAGTCAATTAGATTGATAATTATGTTGTTGATTTGTTCAGTTGGAAAGTTTCACAATATTTTTTAAAGTGAGTAATTATTATTTATTTTAATTCGGTAAATATATTTAACAATAAATACTAAAGAAAAGAATATCAAACATATCATATTTTATTATGGAGACGTTTCGAAAACAACTGTTAACTTCGTCAGTCAAAATAAAATGAAGTTTCATGAAAAAAGAACAATTACATATATAGTATGAGGACTTTGTTATAATTAGACGAGAGAAACAGACAAAAAAAACGAAATAATAAGATAATAAAACGTTTTATTATTTTATTACTTCTTTTTTTTTCTTCTTCTTTGTTCTTTTTTCATGGTACTTCATTTTATTTTGACTGACGAAGTCAACAGTTGTTGTCGAAACGTCTCAATAATAAAATATGATACATTCGGTATTCTTTTCTTTATTATTTTTTAAAGTGTTTTCTGGGATTTTGAAAAGAAATCTATCAAATCCAATGTTTATGTTATACTTCTTTTTTTCAGTCGTTTCGCCAAACTCATGATGCTTCCAGTCGTCTTCAACCGCCACCTCCTTTTAACGATTCCTATCAAATCATTGTTCTAACCGGCGGGCAAGTTTATGGGATTCCGGCTGAAACCAATACAGAAACAAAAGATCTATGCATGCCTCAAAGAAAAGACGTAGTCATTGCAGGTGGTAAAATATTGAGCATGATGGAACCATCGAAAACGGCTGCATTCATTAATTCCATGCGAGATAGCCAGTTGACTATTCTCCCTATTTCTGTCCAGGATCAAATTGTTATGCCAGGACTCATCGATGTACATGTTCATGCCATCGGAGGTGGTGGAGAACAAGGTTTGTTGATTGACTTGATATTGTCATATTTTTTGAAACAGTACAGATTCGGAACTCAAAAACAAAATTCTGAAATCGTAATACTATCGTAGGAATAATTAAGGCTTATTATTATTGCCAATGGATACGTTCTATAGTTAGAGTCATGTTTGACTTTGGCTTTTTGAAAGATACCAACGACTTCTGGCGTTTATTTTCTTTTCAGGTCCGTATTCTCGAACTCCTGAGAGCCGTTTATCTCAATTGATAAGAGGTGGATTAACAACAATTGTTGGAATACTAGGAACCGATGGTATTACGAGAAGGTTAGTCTAGTGAAGATCTTGCTTTCTGATTGCTTTGCAGTCATGATGCTCGATGCATGTATGACACTAATTCAATAAAATCATAATTCATGGTATTGCATACTCTAAGAAATTGTAAAAGTATTTAATTTTATCAATGACATGTTTTAGAAGAGATCAACAACGTATTGTCTAATCAAGCATCAGGAAAGAATTTGTTTCATCTAAGTCATCATATAAAAATTTCTTTTAATGAGACATGTTCTTCAACGTATATAATTATCTAGTGAATGCTAAGAAATGTTATCATTCGTCTAGAGGATATTTCGGATGCCATGATAATGTCTTATCTTATTTTCTGATCGTTGCTGCATAGAACAAAATAAAAATATGTGACATATTCAAGGCTCGTGATCATCCAATCAGAGATTTCGTCTTCAACATAGCTTCATAAGGCAGTCTTTAAGTTTTGAAAGATTTTGGAAGAATTTCAAGACTATATAATATTATACTATTGTCTTTTGTTTTAGTCTATCAGCGTTATTACAAAAAATGAAAGTAAGTTCTTTATATCAATAACTCTCAATATTAGAAAGAGTTGAAATCGATCAAAGAAATTTCTCTATATACAAGATGTCTTTTTTGAGTAAAATAAAAATATTCATACCGATAGCATTAGCACAATTCTGTTTAGTATGACGAAAGTTGTGAGCAGCACGATTTCCATAACCAGGATCGAACACTTCTTTTTTTTCTTAGTTTTTGAATCATTCTTGTGTTCCAGAGTCTGGAACATGATGGCCTTTCGACCTGGATGTGGACTGGTAGTTATCGTATTCCAATCGTTACACTCACTGGATCACTTGAAAAAGATTTACTCTTCATTGATAAAGTCTTAGGAGCTGGTGAGTTAGCGCTCAGTGATCATAGATCAAGTTGGCCATCAAAATCTGAACTTGAACAACTACTTAGTGATGCACGAGTCGCTGGAATGCTTAGTGGAAAACCAGGTGTAATTCACTTTCATATGGGTTCAGCTCCAACAAAAATCGATTTGCTTTGGCAAATTTTAAAAGAAACAGTCATTCCAATTCAACACATGTATTTGACTCATGTTTCATCACGTGGAGATGCTCTGATTGAAGAAGCCAGAAAATGGATCAAAGCCGGTGGCATGTGTGATTTTACTGCTGATGCCGAAACGCTCAATGAAACAGAAACAATCAATACGTTGAATAAGTTTCGAGCAGAGAACTTACCATTGAAACAAATTACAGTATCCAGTGATGCTTACGGGTATGAATACCAATTTATGCTAGAGTATATGTTATTATGACAGAGAATGCAAATTTGCTTGTATTCATTAGAAATAAGTGTTATCTTAACTTTCCTCTTGTTTTCGATACGATATGAATCGACTGTAAAGGTAAAAGAGTGAACTTTTCAAAGCATGTTGTACACACATCTGACTCTCTGAAGAATGTTTAAGTTTTTTCCAATAATTTCTTAAGTGCATCTTGAAGTAATAGAAAATTTAATGGTATGCTCTAGGCAATATGAATTGATTTACTAGTTCATAGCTGAACTTGAACTTAATCTTGAAAACAAAACTTGATTTCTCATTTAGATCATTGCCTGAATACGATTCTTCGGGTCGCTTAGTGTCCTATAGCATGGGTCTTCCAGATGTAACTTTGAAAACAATACAAAATTTAGTATTGAAATATTCATGGCCTATCGAAGAAGCGATCCAATTTTCAACATCAAATCCAGCAACATACCTCAATTTGAAAGGCAAAGGCTTTTTGGCTGAAGGTTATGATGCCGATGTTCTTGTTCTGAATCAAACGGACTTGACACCGTTGTATGTCATCGGAAGAGGACAAATATTGAAAACACCAACATGGGTAAAACATGACATGTTCGAAGATATTAATGAATAAGTATCAACGCTCCGTAATTAATATAAA